CTTCTCCCGTCGAATTAACTGCCGAAATCTGCGCGCCGTCGGGATATCTCCCATGGTGTCGGCTCGCTCCGGGCCGACGCGGAGCCGCGCTTTCCGCGTCGAAATTAAATCTGGAAAGAGATAGTCGCGCATTTCCCCTGCGCCCGCTTTGCCGCAGTGAGGCGCGGCGCGCGGCTGACAAAGGCGGAGGGTTGATCGCGTTGCGCGTTTGGTTAAAGCAGCGACACGGAGGGACTGGACGATGATGACGTTGCGCGCGCGTGGGAAAATTGGCCGGGCGAGCTCCTCGTAAGGCAGTCCCTCGGTGTGTTTTTCATTCGATGACGATCTTAACGGCGCGCGATTGCCCGGGCAATTTACGGGCACGTCGCGCGAATTGATCTCGTTGCGTCTAATTGCGGCTAATTCGCTTCGTCGATGGTGAAGGATATATATATATATATATATTCCGTTTTGCGGCGAGCGCACCGCACCGCACCGGCGAGATAACACACGTTCGCACGTGACACACGCGCCATATGCTGCCACGTGCATTCCTTGGGACGCGGCAAGAAACGCAGTCCGGCGCGCGGTCTGGTTGCCTTGTTAAGCCACTTTGCCAGCCGCGACAAAGTTACCGTCGTTTCCGCGGCAGCTACGTAGCTACATACCGTATAAGCTTGCAGGACACATTCGGCGATAATGAAGAACGATCGCGGCGATGTATCAACCGCGATTACGGTCTTATATCTGCCGCGCGAAAACGGATGAGACAAGCTGATCCACTTATTCCGCGAGTAGGCGCGCGCGCGTGCGGCCCGGAGTGAAATCGCGCGCGTCAGCCGCGCCGCGCGTGTCCTTTAACGTTAAATTCCTCCTCGATCAAGCGCTACGCTCAAGTTATGCTACTCGCTGCTGGTTAGGAGATTGAGAGAAGCGTTTTTGCGAGACGAAAGAATCAATCTAGCCCCCTCGGATATTACCGAAGATCCTGTATGTGCCTGTGTGTGTGTGTGTATGTGTGTGTGTGTGTGTGTGTGCGTGTGTGTGTGTGTGTGTGTGTGTGTGTGCAAATTTCATTGAAACAATTTCGACGCAGCGCAGTCTGGTTGACGCGTTGAAAACCGACGAGAAGTCGGCGGTTTTTCCGCAAAACTTTGATATAATCAAAGTCGCACGAGTTGAGCGTTGATTTCGAATTGAAGGAAATTTCTATCGCCGGAAGCGTCGAATAATCTCAGGCGCTGCCAATGCAACTGCGGCACGAAAACTTGCGGACGATCTATTTAGTACGGCTCAGGCAGTGTGTGTGTGTGTGTGTGTGTGTGTGCGTGTTCTGCAAACAATGTTTTGCATTTCATTGCGGAGCAGTTGCGCGTTATTATAATAAATCATGAGGTCATCGTAAAAAGCCGAGTTAATCGTCGTAAGTGCAACTGCTCCGCGGCGCGCGCAGCGTAACCGGGGAGATGAATCATTTTAGAGATTATCCTGCAAAATTCCGAGGATTCTTGCGAAGATAGGTGCGCTAATTCGTTTCTACATTACGTGTCTTCCTTCGAGAACTCGTTATGTTAACGGCGCGCACGTGTCGGATCGCGCAACAATTCCTCGGAAAGGGAAACATTTCTTCTCTTTCTCCTTATACGTCTCTTTGTGCGGATGGTAACAATAACAGTTGGCATAATTCGCGATGAACACTTGGAGCAAATAGATTACCTGATTAACGCTGCAATTGGTATCGCGGGCGCACGTCTGAGCATCGGGATTGCGTAAGAAACGCGATTGTCATACACGTACATAATTATAGCGGCGTAAGGGAGCAAGCTCAAAGTAGTTATTGTGTGCTTTATGTAGCTGAATATATATATATACATATATAGATATATATATATATAGATATATATATATATATATATCGCGCGAAAATTGCGTCGTTGTCGCCAAAAGCTCACAATAACGCGTAGCGAGCCGCGTCGCAATTTACCGCGCGCGTGACGAGATAACCGCAGCTGTATTTCCGCGATTGATAAAACCCGTGTAATCTTCTAATTAATTTCTCTTTTTCGTCTTTTTTTTTTATTCACGTCATGGATACCAAAGCCGCGATGATACCGATCCGAAATACACGACGTGGATAAAATTCGCGATTGCGGATTGTCCCGCGCGTTATTTATGCGAAAATTAACAATGAGCGGCTTTAACGAAAACACGAATTCCAAATTGATTTTAAACATAGTGCGGCATTGTGTGAGGAAGATATTAATATCGCCTAACGTGCGGCAAAATATTTCTATGCGGTATATAGGTCGCGGAATAACCTTTTCATAAGCGGGCCGCTTTTATGCACACACAAGTCGCCCGGGCGCAGCGCGCGATTTAATAATACGTCCCTGAAAAAGCGTGTAATTTTTTAGTTTCGCGAAGCAGTACCATTAGCAAAAACGTTTTGTCACATGTCAAAGCGCGTATTCAGTCAGTCGTGCTCTTTCGCGAGGTAACCTTTGCCTCGTCTATCGAACGCGTTTGCGTGCGCGCGCCTTCGCGCTTTATTTTAAACATGAACTTTCGCGGCATATTCGCCGAGTTGGCGGTGCACAACGAGAGTTGCGGCCGAGTAGCGCGCGACTTTCCACGATCGGACGGAAGATAACGAAGAACATCGGCGCGCGCGTTGCTTTACGCGTTGCTTTACGCGTTTACGTAACGCCTCGTTCTGTCGCGACGTTCTCGTTGATGCTCACCAACCAAGGTGCGTCTCGATTAATTGCCTCATCCGCTTACCCATCACCTGACCGTCGTACACGCAAGGTCACAGGGGCGATTCCTCAACCGGAACCGAACCGGTCCGGCCAGCCGAACGCGCGAAATAACACCGCGCGCTCGTGCACTCGCGAGAGGGCAGGATTATCGATTGCCGAAGATCGCGGCGCGCGCGACGGCCCAAGCGGTCGCCATTACCGGGATTGCGGACGTCGCATTAGGTAAGATCCAGCCTGTACACATTCTCATTCGGATAATGCACCGCTAAGTGGATGCCTCGTGTGTGTTGCGACTCGTAGCCTATCAATCTTGATCTCGGCTTATACGAGCGGCGCGATACGCACACAACGTCGACGAGACGTCGTAGTCTGCTCTCTCCCTCTCTCTCTCTCTCTCTCTCTCTCTCTCTCTCTCTCTCTCTCTCTCTCTCTCTCGGTATGTATGGTGTGTTGCACGTACGCGGCTCGCGAAGGTGTACAGTCGCGGATTCGTACGTGTGTGTGTGTGTGTGTGTGTGTGTGTGCGCGAGTTGCACGCACACGAGAGCGATGTATAACTGACACGCGACACACGCTTGAATTGAAACACGGTACGGGCCGACAGGTGGCGGCGGGGGTGCGTACGCATATATATCAGTAGATATGCACATAGAACAGCACAACAGGGTCAAGTCATCCTGATGGCTCATAAGATCAGGTATACGGAATGTATGGGGTCAATGGATACACTCTCGCACCCGGGGCGCGCACCTCCAGCCGCACCTCTCGCGGCAGGGTCGGGCCTTATCGCGTTCATCGCAATTAAACGCTAATGCGCGCGATTATGTATCCGGAAGCGCGAGGGTGCGCGCGAGTTTCACAACGCGTGCTCTTTATTTCTCGCTCTCTCTCTCTCTCTGTCCTCGCCCCTCCGCTCTCGCCTCTCCACCCCCCCCCCGGCCCACTCTTGAGCTCTCGCGCACTTGTTCGCACTCGGGCGTGCGCGCGGCTGCTTTAATTCACAAACCGGCAACTGGGCAATTGCGCTCTCGGCCCCTTCTAATTACATTAGAGACGCCGAAATAACGGGCGAATTATTGTACAGGATTTCGACTGGACTCGTTGCGCCCGCCGTGCGCCCGGCTACTGCGCGTTGCGCTACCGAGAGCGGGAGAAACGCGTTCTTACGAACGTTCCAGAGTGCACTTTTTGACTCCGCTCGTTCCTCACCGTCGCCCCTTCGCCGCCCCTTCGCGCTCATCGCCCCCGTAGCCGCTGTGCCCGCTGCGGACGGCCGTTCTCGACGCCAAGCCCTGCTTCTCGGCGTCTCCCGTGAAGAACGGAATCGAGATCGATGCGCACTTTTATCGTCGCTCCTCGCTACGGCGATCGTCAAAATCGCGTCCTTCGCCTTCGCGCGTTGCAGCAGGAGCGCGCGCGTACGTGCGTCTAAGATACACACACACACACACACACACAGACACGTACGAGCTAATGCGTCGCACCGAGGCAAGGGGAGAGGGGTTATTGGCGGATAAACAGTTATATGCGCACGTAGGCGCAAATGCATTTGCACATAACTGTAAATATACGTGTATATATGAGCGATACACACACGCACATGCGTTCCGTTCGGGAGCTACGCCGACAGGCGTGCATGCGAGGCATGCCGTCTGACGTATACGTCCTGCCAATGTTCCGCGGTATACCGAGGCTGACGAGCCATCACTGACGTAGCCAGGATGGTCGTACGGCGGAATCGCTCGGGGCTTTACGGCGGGGCCGACGTTTCGGGTGAGTGTTACATCTTTTCCTTCTTTATGGCGCGTTCGCGCGCGCGAGCGAACACGCGGAGGGTGATCGGCCGGGAGACTCTCCTCTCCGTCCGAGCAGGCTGTCTCTCTCGTCGTTCTCGTTAACGCCGTGTTATTTTCGATCCTTTGTGCGAAACGCAGGAACCACGGTTCTCTTCCTCTCTCTCTCTCTCTCTCTCTCTCTCTTTTTATTTTACACTTGGACCGATTCAACGGCCGAGAGCTTTTAAATTTGTATTATCTGATATGCGTGCACGCGTTCGGGAGAGAGATTTACGACTTTCAATAATATATTTTTAACGTCATAATCGTGGTACCAGCATACAACGTTTGTGCGCTTTACAACGCGCGAAATAACACGGTCGTCCGCTTGATCAAGTGCAGTGTTCAGGCGTGATTGCTTTCGTGATTTGTATTTAAGGGAACGCTTGTGAAAGGTATGAATGAATCAAAATAATGGGAAAAATGTCATTGAAAAGTCGTGTATTTATTGGGTTTTATACATTTGTTCTTCTCGCTCGTGCACCCCTAGTGTGAACGGTGACATTTTATTTGGTAATGCGCAACGGTAAGGTGATATTTGTCGGTATTAGATTTCAAGGAAGGATCAACGAGCAAGGGAGCAAGAGAGAGAGAGAGAGAGAGAGAGAGAGAGAGAGAGAGAGAGAGAGAGAAAGAGGGAGATCGACGAATTCACGTTGCAAATGTGTTTTTAATGAGAGCTTAACTTGTCCGGTCGAACGTACGAATCTCGTCGATATTGCCACTAAACGATTCTCTTTGCGGAGTTGCAGCTTTACGATCAAACAAGTTCAATGATTTTCCCTTCCTCCTCGCCTTCCCTCTTTCTCTCGCATCGTCTCATTCTACCTAATTCTTTCACAAGCTCGACACACAATTTCACGCTAATCATTTCCGATGTCTGCCTTGATTTTGCCTTGAACATAAAAACAAGGCATAAAGCTACGTATCGCATTTGTTATGTTCGACATGCGTCGATTTATTCGCCGAAAGAACGTTTCATCCTTGATGATAGTCGGCGATAGATGGCGATTGATATGATCGATAACGTTTCGAAATTGTTGCGAAATAATGTCGCGTTATTTATTGTCGTCGCTTTTGGCACCACTGCGTCTCGTAATAATTGCACGCGTTTTGCACTTACTGCTACATTTGTATGTACACAATTATCTGACTACTCGAGTATCGTAATATAATTGGCGAGATTTCGCTGTGATGTTTTTTTTTGTTTTTTTTTTTGTTTTTTTTTTCCAATATAAATGCACGATCTCAAGATCGTGCAAGTCACGTGAATGAACGTTGTGGAATTGGGCGGCCCGATCTCCGAATTATGACGCTTATAACGCTGCACACTCGTCCTTAGGAAGCAACTTCTTATTCTGCAGTTGCAATTGTATCTGTTCCAAGGTTTTGCCTTCGGTCTCCAGCACAAATAGGTAAATTAATAACCATATAAGAAGCGTTACCGCGGTGAATATCCATAATGGTACGAACGTGCCGTACAGTTCTTGCGAGACCTACAAACAATACAAATAACCCCGCCATTATATTATTCCGCACAGGACCGCGCACGACACGATGTGTTATCGGTGAAAGAGCAAGGCAAGGAATCGTTATTCTTCCAAAATTACTAGCGATTCACCGTATTTCAAACGGCGAATTTCGCGACCGAGCGAGTCAGAACGATAGACGTCGCATCACGCGTGTATAAATTCGAACAAACAGTAGCGCTATCTCCAGCTTTAACGGTTGCTCATCAACATCAGTCATCGCTGTCGCTTTACTCCCGACATGTATAATTTGGATATTTACGTTAAAATACTTCCCGACGCGGACGATCCGTTTAGTCCGCCAGAAAGAGTCATTAAACGACGGTGTATCATGCCGCGGCGTATAATGCCACTACTAGATGAAGAAATCTTTTCGACCAAACTCCTTAGACGATCGTTACTTCCGATAACCCGCTTACCGCGCTCTCGCTTCGCGAAAAACAAAATCGATCCTCGCGCTCGCACTCACACCTACACACACACACACACACAGACGCCAGCGTTACCTGATAAAGCTTCACAACGACGATGGTGCTCAAGGCGTAGTAGAGAGCGCTGAACATCGCGGCGGGTACTTTGACCTCGTAGGCGAAGATCTCGCCGATATAAGCGAGCGGTATCGGATTAAGGCCGAGTCCGAAACCGAGCACGTAAATCACCACGAAGACTGTGGGCACCCACTTGAACCGGGAGACGTCGTAGCCGCCGGATTGCAGCTGGAAGAAAATGGCTATCGTCGCCAACGATAGCACGCAAATCGGCGTTGCGATCAGCAGCAGCAATCTCTTGCCGGTGAACCGTACCAGCGTCACACAGACGCTGCCGGCCACGACGATGGCGATGCCGGTGAGGATGATGCTGGCGTTGGTCGAGATCTCGAAACCGGCCTGGTCGAAGATGTACGACTGATACACGAGTATCGGCGCCGCGCCCGTCAGCGACAGGCCGCTCAGCACTATCAGAGCGATTCGAAAGGCTCTCCTGTTCTGCGTCTTGGTGACGGTCTGCTTGAACATCTCGCCGAGGCTTATCTGGCCGCACTTGTCCTCGATCGCCACGATCCGCTTGACCTCCTCCAACTCCTCGTCCACGTTCTCCTTGCCCAGGGTCCAGCGGAGGGTCCTCATCGCGGGCTCGAGCTTGTTCTTCCGCGTGAGAAACACCGAGCTCTCGGGCAGCCATATGAATGTCAGTAGAAACAGCACCGGCGCGCACACGCTTATCATCGCCATCGTGAATCGACTGATCCACAGGCCGATCGTGTAGATGAGCAGCACCCCGATGTTGATCAGGACGGCTGTTAGGGTACCTGAAGGCACGTCGTTCGGTGCGGCTTTATCGATGAGACGCTAGCTGTCTCGTCGGTAGAGCGCCAAGACAATTAACGCGAGTCAAACTGCGTCAAACGCGTCTGCGGGTGTTTTTTTTAAAGAGACATTAATTGATCGCGCGATGAGATATAAAAAACGTCAGGAGATGCCATTTTTGCAAGAGGATTGACATCCCGATAACTTAAAATCACATTGCATCATAGCGCGTCGTACGAAGTGAAACGAGAGACGAAATCGAATCGGACAATCGCGCGTTGACGAGTTTACGGTGGCCGAGACAGCTGACGTCTCGTCGTACCTAAAGGACCTCTGGTCCGTTTGCTGCTGATCTCGCCGAGATACATCGGCATGACGGCGTAGGTTACGCCGCATCCTATGCCCGCCAACACCCGGCCGACGAATATGTAATGCGTGGACGTGGACAGGCCGATGAAGAGCCAAGACGCGATCTTCGGTATCGTGGTGATCAGCAGAGTGCCCTTACGGCCGATGCTGTTCATCAGTGCGAACGGTATCAAGGAGCCGATGCCGACGCCGACGTACATGAGATTCACTATCCAGGCGATCTCGTTGCTCGTCGCGCTCAACGGATCCTCGCCGTTGAACTTGGATATGGTCGGCGTGCACCATCCCTCGTGGAAGCCGCAATCGATGACCATGAGGCTGCCTGAGAAGCGGGGTCGCGCGCGTCAGACTCTTTCGCGGGAGGGCTCGCACCCACCGGATACGTGCCGTCGTGATACTTACAGACCAGCCCGATCAGTATTTGCCGCAATATCCCGCGGTCCATTGCGGTGCGACGGCGACTCGCTCTTCTCTCGATCCGCTCGTTAACGATCGATCGAGCGATTATTGCCTGGCCTGGCTACGCCACGCGGGAACAGCGTCACACTTGCACGAGAGCGAGCACGTGCACGGGGAACACACGGGGACGCGAGCGAATAACGTTTCGTGTTCTCGGGCGAGCGTCCTTCTCACTCGTCCGCACCTCCGACCCTGTACTGTGATCGCGAGAGTCACCTGTTGCAAAAATGCATATTGCGAGCGGAACGTCCCGTGACGCCAAGTGACGCGCACGGGCTGACTGATTCGCTGGCCGGTGGCGTTCTCCTGCGTTCTCGTGGGAATGAGAACGTAATGCGAAAAGAACGTAGAATCGGAGCGTCTCACTTGGCCGCAGCGGCGCGGAGACGCGCGCTCGAAACGCGATTGCAAAATTCCACCTTGGCTCATTATCGCGATGGCGGGCGCGTGGCGAGACTGATCCTTCTAATCTGGCAACATGGCCGAGCCCCGAGCCAAACGGAGATAACGGAGATAAAGCCAACAAGGGCACTAACTAGATTCCGCGCCACATATCTCCCGGCCGAGGGTGCGATACGGTCACACGTGTAAACGGCTACGTCTGCACGCATGACCACCGTCCGCGGTCGCAGAGAGAGAGCGAGAGCGAGCGAGCGAGCGAGCACTTGCTCTTGCTTTGTGGCACGCGATGCGATGCCTCCCAAAGCGACAGTTTATGGCTCGCCATACAATGCACCCACTATTAGGAGACGGCCACCGAACCGGGCGCATTCCTTAACGTGAATTTATTGCCATAAAATTTATACACTTTGACAAGCCGCTGTCCGAAGCTCGGCCGCCCGTTCGCGAGTGGACGCGCACCGGTGAACATCCCGTTGAGGAATGTTAACTCGGTAGCGCCGCAGCAACTTCTCTAGTCGCCCTGGGTCTAGTCGCGTGTACGCGTCTGCTGATTCTCGTCCATTAGAGCGCTCCGCGAGCGCTTGTTAATTTCGTGAAGTGTGCATTACGTGACATTGACCGAGGGCTGAAAGTCGGGAGAAGAATCGTAAACTTGCGCGCAGTCACAGTCGTGGAGCAACCACACGGTGTCACGGTGTCTTTCTGAAAGGGGTCTGATGAAAGAAAAGGTGCCCGACATGCGAAGGGCGGGGTATAGTATTGGCTAAATTAAGTGGAGTTCACAACGAATACAAATCGAGGCAGATTAGCATCGTCAAGGCAAGCGGGCCTCCGGCGTGGGCGAAGCCGAGGAGCTCTTGCAGCTCCTCCGGCAAAGTTACTTCTCTAATCTGTGGTCATCAAAAGACCATTTTGTCGTCTGCGTCAAATATTTAACGACGCTTTATCCGACGAGTTGTCTCACGCGTCTCTGTGAGTCCGGAGAGCGGAGACGGATACTGGTCGATTGATAAATTCACGCTGTAAAAGTCAACTTCCGAAATGACGGTAATATCGTGTCGACAGTATCGTATTAATTATTCGGTCATCGCCAATGATATACTCGCGCGTTAGCTCATTAGCGGCAATTCCTGCCGGCGAGAGAGAGAGAGAGAGAGAGAGAGAGAGAGAGAGAGAGAGAGAGAGCGTGCGTGTTTTATCGCGAGGTGCGCTGAAACGGCAATTTTTCACACGACAAAGTGGTGTCATCAACGGCGAATTACTGACTGCTTCCGACAGAGGACGAAACGCGGCGTCCCAAAAATTATTCCCACCGCGCTAAAGTGGACTCGCAATTACCGCGCGCGGCGCTAATTACGACGCCTGAAAATCGTGCGTTTCCTCCGAGGCATCGCGTTTTATCAAGTGATTCATCCCTCGCTTTCGAAGTACGCACAAAAACAGGCTCGTTCACAGGCAACACATCGACGCGAGATTGAACGTAACAACGTTGCGCGAGCGGCGCGTAAGCACGATAATTGCGATGATTTATCACTGCGCGGTCCGTACGCGAACCGCAACTGCCACAACAAATATTATGCAATATCCGCTCTTTTCCCTGTTCCTCATAAAACTATTGGACCATGCGGTCCGGTTTAGGGCGAGTGGTTGCCTTTCCGCGAAAAAGCGGAAAATAGAAACCACCCGCCGAGATCGCGCAACCGCGTTCGCGTTGCGGAGAACAGGCTGAGGAATGCCTCGCTTAATCTTATCGCGTCTGACAGCATGTGCAATTTTCTCTTAGCTCAGCTGCTGATTACGTAGCTAGCAGAAAATCAATTATATCCGGGTGACAAGTTAAACGCTATTGATTGCCGCGGCGGCTGTGACGAGCTCAGTCGTTGCTTCGGCAGTTTATATCCGCGATGTCTTCCGCGCGTCGGTCAGCCATTTGTCGTTGAGGCGCGGAGAAGAAAGGCTCGCGATTATTAGCGTGAGGTCGTCACGTCCGGAGGTGCACGATATTTCATTCTAACTGTGCGGTCGGTTAGCTTCAATCCGAGCTTACGTCCTGCATCGGGAGGATCGATCGCGAGCCCCTGGACTGTGACGTACAATCCTTTTTACCGTGATTGTTATTACTTGCCGGTGCTTAGCACAAGTTGCTTCAATTCTTTAAAGTTGAGACATTTTTCAGTCGATCGCCAAGATTGTCGCGAATCAGTCGAACAGAGACAGAGAGAGAGAGAGAGAGAGAGAGAGAGAGAGAGAGAGAGAGCGAGTTGAAATAGCTTCGTTTATACTCGGAGCTTACCAAACTAAAAAAGAAGAAGCGCGTATAAAAATTTTTTCTCTGCAAGAACGACAATTATTCCTAAAGCGTATCAAAGAAATTCGATATAAAATTAATCGAAAATCGCATCGAATCAACGTAACGGCTCCTTTTTCCTCGACGATAAGCGCGACGAAGTATACAGTGCTTCCGGTTGAGCGCGCAGTTTTCTCTTATTATTACCGTCATTGTAATTCTCGTAACAAATTATTTTTACATAAGAGTTATCCTCGACTACCAGCACACAACACGTTCGTCGACCGGTTAATTGATAGTTATGTAAGAGTTGTTACAGGCGCGCGCGTGTTTTGTCACTATCACGTTATTACACCTGATTTACTGATGACGTCCCATTATCACACGAGGGTTTAATTCCCCTTGATCAGCGAGTTGTTACCTAATCGCGGAGGCCGGCTACAATGCTACATGCAATGCGGAATTACTCGATAATGTCGCTGATTGATGTATCGAGAAACCGGATCGACCGCGACGATCGACGATGACGCGGTTTTCGCACGCGCAGAAGTCGGAATCGCGTGAATGTCATCATCGGTGAGAGAGAACCGGTCTCCGTCGCCTAACACTTCCGCGCCTTCTGATCTTTCCTCAACGAAGATCCCTCTTAAGATCGTTTGATTCTACAATGCAGATTGCGCTAAGCTTGATTATCTGGCAGACCGGTATTTATGATAATCTCAGCTGATGGCCGGATTACCGCGCTTGGCATACGTTAACATATTAACGGCGTAAACATTATTAAAACTCCCCGTATACGTAACACCTTTCGAAGACGCACAATCTCGGGATCGAGAAAAACGTCCTTGCGCGCGTCGGCGATTAAGCCACGTGTTCGCCTCGACTCGATAAAACCGTCGGCATCCCGATTCCATCTGTCGACATCGAGAAACAGTGAACCGGTGAACCGGTGTGTAGATTTCGCACTACCGGCCGTTACGTCACTCGTAAAAATCTTCCACGATCGTACACGATCTCTGAGCGAACCGAAGTGGACTTCGGAGAACTGGAGATTTATCGTCCAGCAGGCTCTCGGAGCGCAGCGCGAAGTATGCGCGCGCGCGCGCGCGCGAGCGAGCGGCAAAAGTGTACTCGCGGAAATAATTGCATCGGCGGTTGCATTCACCTTAGCGAAGCTGTCACGACCTGTCACTGCGACGAGAAGAGCCGAGAACGAGATGTCGAGTTCGCGAGACGCGCCGACGACGACGACAACAATGACAGTGACAACAACGGCGACGACGGCGACGACGGCGACGACGGCGACGACGACGACGACGACGACGACGACGACCACCACCACGACCACGACCACGACGGCGTCGCTGTCATTCTGAAAGACGCCGGAAAGGAAACTGAGCTTGACTCTGATACGCCGGCACGTCACCGTGATTTTAATCGAATCCCCCTCCCGTGACCGAACAGAGCGACAGCGTAACCGCTAATTACTTTCGCGCGCGCTGTTTCTCGCGAGCGGCGCGCGCGCGCGCACGCGAGTGCGAAGTCCTTCGCGTTGCGTTGTTCTTGTTTCTCCCTTTTTCTCCTTTTTCCCTTGCTCCATTCTATTCTATTTCATCGGTTAACCGCCTTTTCGCGCCAGCAGCGTGAAGCGCGCACAGCCGGCGGCGGCGGCGCGCGACGCCACATGTCATGTGTCACGTGTTTCGAAAATTGATCCGTTCGACGGCTTGTAATTTTTTTTTTTTTCCCCCACTGCCCCGCGCGGGCGTGCGTGACCGTGCGGCCGGGTGTCGAATGACAGGAATACCCGGGAAAACTGATACGCGCTCGCTATTAATTCGCTGTTACCGGCCGCGTCGGGTTTAACTTCGGGATGAGGATGCGATTGCGCGTGCTACGTTCTCGCATACGTGGCGAAATTGCCCCGCACAATCGAGTGATTCCCGAGTCATGTTTATTTAATATCTCGGCCGAGGAGGAAAAGCGAACGCGTGCGCGCGCGGCTGAGGAATACGAATCGCAGGAATTTTTATTTCGCGTCGTCTCGACGCACCAGGTGCGTACGTGCGCGCGCGCAAGAAAAAGAGAGAGAGAGAGAGAGAGAGAGAGTGAGAGAGTGAGAGAGAGAGAGGAAGAGAGAGAACTATCTCGATGACTTTTGCTGTTACGACGTATAAGGAGATCGCGCGAGAAGGACGGATATTACGCGCGTGCGGAATTACAAAATCGCCGTCGACGAGTGGATAAAAATCACTCGCTCTGGATTTCGACCTCGAGAGATAAAAAGTGACGCGCTCGCGCGCAGACCTCGCGAGGGAAAAAGTCGCTGGCGTCCTTGCGCGAGACGGGAGAGTCCTCGCGTCCTCGCTCGCTGCCCACGCGCCAGTTAATTTTCGCGCTTGTTGGTATTGTTGGTATTCGCTCGGTGTAACATTGAAACGCCTGGCATTGTTGACGGGCGCGCGCACGCGTTTTTGTCGCCGCTGCAATTTTGCAGTCGCGTGAGTGCGTACGTGCGCGGGTAAACCGCGCGTGCAGCTGCGCGAGAGGAACGAGAGGCCGGTAGCAGCTGATACGGATCGGCGATAATCGCGACCGGGCGGTCTAATAGAACGCAATCCGTTAAACTTTCTCTCGATCATTCTCGCGCAATCGGGGTTCTAGTTGGATGCGAGCGGCCCGACCGACGGCGATCCATTTCGTCGGCGTAACGCCGCCGCGTGCGCGATCGAGCGAGCATCCGACATGCCTTAACTCGCCTGGACTCGCGACTGATCCTTCGCTTTTTCGTTTATTTTCCTTCCACTTCCTCTCGTCTCTCTCCTCTTTTTCCTCTTTCGCGCGAAGCGAGACGACGCATCGCCGTGATATTTAAAAGTATAGAAGTCGCGCGGCTACGCGTGATCGGATGCCGAGCATAATGAGGAATTTTCACAAAGCGTCGCATTCTCGCGCTAATTTCCATACGGCTGTTTACGGCTGTTTACGCAACGTTTGCGGAACGTTTAACGTCTTCGCATGTTAATTCGCCGCGCGACCTTGGATCGCGATATATTTCCTTACGTATTTTAACAAGTTTCTCGTATCGTCAAGATCAAGGCTTGACGGCCTTCAGGAAAGAACGCGATTTCGCATTACGAAGTTGCGCGCTGTCATTAGAAGACGGAACGAACTCACTGTGCGGAAAACACCGACAAGGCAGTGGTTGGAAAGGGTCTCTCGATGGACAAATTAGTCTGGACCGCGTAATTGTTAACCGATTCTAATAATTTCTTTTTTAATTTGCTCGTTATGAATTGCTCTGCAACTTTGTCGATTCACTTTTTTAAAGTAGAGCTTCAAATCGAAATGGCGGACTCAAAATGGTCATCAAAATATAGAAACTATAAGATATTAGATATTCTTGCATCGGAAAAAAATATATATGTATTTTAGGAGTTCCTCCTAATTACATCTGACGTCAGAATTTTAATTTCTTGCCACTTAAGAGGGTCTGAAACAATCCGAAATGTTTTACGACTTTCTTGTAGCTTCATATTATCGGATGCAAATATGCATTTGGATAACGTCTTTGCTCACACATTAGTACATATTGCTCGCAAAAATATGTAAATTTCAAAATTTAACTTGAAATTTACATATTTTAACAAACAATATATAGTAATATGTGAGCAAAAACGTGATCTGAATGCACTGACAGTATAAAGATATCAGAAAATCTTAAAACATTTCAAATCTTCTGAAGTGGCAAGAAATTAAAATGTGTGTATGTCGCACAGGCAGAGATAAGAACTTCGTGGTTCGTCACGAACCACAGTATTTAGAAACTCCAAACCCTTTCTGCTCTTTGTGTGTGTGTGTGTGTGTGTAATTTAATGTAGCACATTCGTACGGTCTTTCAACATTTCTTCAGCCTCTGAATGAAAAGGTTCGTGAACCTTCCTTACAACTTGTCGAAAGCTAGTTATATAGTATATCCGACGAAAAAAATAAGGAATGCAATATATCTTCGTTCTTCGTATCGGTTCTTGAAGATTCTCTGCTGTGACTTGTACGGTATATCTTAAAATCTTTATTCCGTGCCTCCTGGGTTTCTTCAGATAATTTCTTATAGTTTCTATACTTCTATACTTTGGTAACCATTTTGAGCCCGCTATTTTGATTTGAAGCTCTGCTTTAAAAAAAAAGCGAGTCGGCAAAGTTGTAGAGCAATTCATAACGAGCAAATTAAAAACAAAAGGTTATTAGAATCGGTTAACGATTACGCGGTCCAGACTAATTCGTACACCGAGAGAGCCTTTTTGACCACTGTGCGTCGTATTCGCGCGCCTCGAATCTCTTTCGTGTCAAATTAATATATTTCGATAGCCCGCCGAGACTCGTCCGGTTTGCGTAACGATACCGGGGAACTAAATGTATATTTCAACGAGTTCTTCCGCGAATTTACGTACGTGCGAGACTCGGACGTTAAAATTCATCGCCGATCTGTGTTGGATCGTTTCTGTTTTCAGAACTGACTGATTGTTTTAATAACGTACAGATGTAATGATTTCGCCAACACCGAGCAAATGCATCTCTCTCTCTCTCTCTCTCTCTCTCTCTCTCTCTCCCCCTCTCGCTCGCTCGTTCGCGCGCGCGCGAGTCTCAGTATTCGCGATCTCGGGAACGAACGGCGTTATTTATTACGACCGTGTCGAAACTCACGGGGAATTACGTCGATTCCAGTTCCTGCGCTTAACGCAGCGGCGGCGTAGCTTGTAAACGAAACTAATGCGAATGCGCGCGCGCACGCTGAATGAATCGGGCAAACTTTATACAGATATTCTTTCGTTACATCCCGCGCAATTGCGATTCCCGACGTGGCTTGTTGTTACGCTAATGAGACACGTCTTGACGTCGTCAACTTTGATATTGTACTATCCGCGAGACATCGAGTCGAGGACGACGACGAGCCGGCACGAAGAAGTAACAAAGAATCCGCCGTGAAATCCAAGTGATCTCCAAATGCTCATCGTCGTCTCGCTCCTCCCCGCTCATATACCGCTTTAATCGAGAAACGGCATGGTTAAACTACGTCAGATAGCGGCGGCGGGAAGAGGCGAGACGAGACCGGGCCGGGCGAGGTAAGGGGCGGCGAGAGGAAGGAAGGAAAGAGGTCGTTGAGCGCGCGGAGACAGCACGATAGTCCCTAAAGTATATTTGCATTTGCATTCGGTAATTAAACTCCCGCCGTTTCCGCGATACTAGACTCTCCCCAGCTCGTTCTTATCGGAGTTTGTCGAAGAAGAGCAATTGGTCGGCTCGAGGAATTCCAAATGGCTTTCACGTGCCCGCGAGGCACGTGACCAAGTTGTAACGGCCGGAAGTCGACGGAGATACAAAACTGTCTAGCGATCCGCGGTGATTAATCGTTTCGTTCAGTCAGAGAGAGCTATCTACCAGCCTCACCCTCCTCCCACCCCCTCTGTCCTTCTCTCTCTCTCTCTCTCTCCCCCTCCCTCCCTCCCTCTCTCTCTCTCTCTCTCTCGGTGTTTTCATTAATTAAGTAATTAAACCGCTGTCACTCCACCTCCAGCATCGAGATTTCGTACGAAGCAGATGGGGGAAGAGTGTGGTGGAGGAGGGGGAGGAGGAGGAGGAGGAGGAGAGCGTCTCGTTGCAATTTGTGTGTGACTTACCGCGTGTCTGCCGGTGTCTCGAGTCGCGCGAGCGAATCGACCACGCGAATTGTTCAATTAGGCTCGAGCGTCGGCGAGCATCTCTCGTGGCGGTTCGACGTGTTGTCGAACGATCGATCGCCGTATGCGAGATACAAGAAGCCGTGCGCGGCGGCCGCAGCTGTGTGTCTCGGAGACTCCAAGTAGATCAAAACGCGGTTTTCGCCGGCCGGAAAACGCCGAGCGTCCGCCTCCGACGAGCTTATCGACTGACGCAACCGGCGAAAGTAACCGGCACTCGAGGCACTATGCGCGATTTGCTCGGCGGAGCGTTTTCCGCCTCCGTCGGATGGTGTTCCCGTCGAGCCGACGGGTCGCGTGCAATCAGTGATTTCACTTACGAGGAACCGCTCGGAATCGGCAATCTGCCGGAACGCGAAATCGCCGCGGCGCTGCGATAGAGGATCTCTCGCTCTTCTATCTTGCGCGTGCCTCAGACTTCGGGTTTTTAAGAGCACCGGGAACACGTGTGTGTGATATATATATATATATATATATATATGTATATATATGCGTGTAGTTCCGCCGAATCGCTCGGGAATTACGCGGCCTCAATGACGACAGCGACGACAACGACGACGACGACTCGGCAGGAAAGAAGAGGCAACAGCGGGATACGAGTAGTTAAACGGGGAGAAGTAATTTCGCCGTGATGTAATTCGCTCGCGAGCAATGTAGCGCGAGCAGGTGTTGGCCGCAACCATGCCTCATAATCGCGAATGGCTCGATCGTTATTCCGCTCGCGTGCTCTCGGTAACCACGTTCGAGCGTCGAAGGAGTCATCGCGTGCGCGCGCGCGTGCGAATCCTCTCTCCTTGCGACAATTCTTGCGTCTCCGTGTGCAAAATTCGACGTCGCACGAAATCGTCGTCGTCGCGTCGTTTCCGTCGACGCGTCACGTTCGCCGCGAAGCGAAACGCTCGACGGTGAGGAATTATTTCCGCCGCAAGGTCGGAGCCTGGACTGGCGAGCGTGCGCGCTCTTGTTCGCCGCGAAAGTCGGCGAATCCACTCGATAAGCTCCTGTCTGCGTTATCGGCAAAGTTGGCCACGGGAGACCGAGCCTACTTGGCGGATACAATAAAAAGAGAAATATCGGTCGGGGGAGGAGGAGGGCCGAAGAAAAGGCGCGAGCTGCAGCGCGAGCGCGGCGCAGCCCCGCGGCGGCTACGCGCTGTAAAATGAGAAATGCATGAGAGAGCCGGAGGGTAAAGGACTTACCGTCGTGGGAGTCGTAGAGGTAGATGATTTTCTTCCAGCCGTAGTATCGCACCGTATCGATGATGGCGCGATGGTAATCCGGTCGCATACTTATGGCGAAGTCCAAGAGACCCGAGGACGGAGTCAGGACCTGGAGATATACAAAATAATCCCGTGTATTCTCTCTCCCGCGCCGGTCGTTCTCTTTTTCCCCCCTCTCTCTTTTTTTTCCTTTTCTTTTCGTTTTTCTTTTTTTTTTTTTTTTCTCTTTTGTTTCTCCACTCGTCGCGATATTTCGAGTGAACGATCTCACCTGCCGTCGCACCCTTCCCCTCGCCCCTACCGAGTTTCCGAGGAACGCACCGCCGAAATTAATTCTACTTAGGAAAGGAAGCTACCGCGAAACTTTAATCCGAGCGCAATCGAGCCCCGAGACCGCTCGTGAATTCTCTTTGAAACTTAATTCCTCGCGAGTGTGCAACTGGTGCGCGCGCTCGTCGTGATTTACCGCCGAAATATATGCCTTTTGATACTAATTGCACTTGTCGACCGCCTCTCGTCGCGCATCTCGGCTCGCATCTCCCTCTCGCTCTTCGTGGAACACTTTTGCCGCGGAGGAACGCGTTCGCACGATTGATCCTCCTGCGCAGCGATAATTCAGAAACATCTGTTATCGATCGCAATGACGCGCTCCTTTTTTCATCGAGTCGATACCCGCCGATATTATCGGAGCGGCATAAATAGCGCCCGCGTTTCGCGAATAAAGAATTAATCATCGTCCGGCTGCCAATAGTCATATTCACGTATTGAATTTCCGACGATACCGGTAGCGTTCCCTTTCCTGGAGGGACGAACGGCGGCGGGGGGGGGGTTACCGGCGATGCAGACGCCGGTAACCGAGAGAAGGATCTCATGAAAATTGAAAAGGATTTTCTCTATATAAATGGCCGCTCCTGGCGAACCGCGTAATTGGCCCCCCGCAAAAAAAAAAAAAGAAAAAAGGAGAGAAGGAAGGAGTAGAGAGCCGAGGCGTCGAATCAGCATTACCGCGCGATTACCATTTAAACGACATTGGCGTTCGTTACGCGCGCACATACATACACGTATACATGCATACATACTTATACGCGGCCGTGCGCGTGGAAATATATCGTGGGAAAAATACTCACACACAACACGCAGTCGGAATACACACGACGCGGCCGCGCGCTCGTCGTACAGAGACTAACGCGATATCAGTTTTGCGAGTGGATACGGCGGCGCGATAAATGCACGCAGCCACGCAATTCGAGCCGGCGAATAAATTTTCGGCCGGCCAATTTATTCGGAAATTCAAATTGTAATATGGCCGTATGTGTGTCGCGCATACATATTTGCATATTTGTATGGATGATGGTATCGGCCGAATTCATCATTGTGCGTCTACGCGCCGCCGCTAATTATCAGTTACAGCCAAACGAAACTATTGATTCCGCAAGCGGCGTTTATCGTCGCGCACGTGCCTCGCAGTTTTTCTCCTTTCTTTCTTCTCTCCGCTTGTCGGAGCGGACAAGCGAGATGGAAAAAATTATTTCCGCGATATGTGACGAGAACGCTTCTCGACCAGGTGGAGTATACGAGAAGTTTGCCATCGACGAAGCGATTCGGTTTCTACTTCAAGTTCTACCGCCGAAAGTAGACTGTTAATCGGCCGCTCGCCGAAGCGTGCTCGACTCGACCGGATTACGAGAGGCGAAAGAAAAAGAATTGCGACAGAGATCTTCTGCAAATTGTGCCGCTGAGGAAAGTCGGCGTATTAATTGAAAGGTTATCGTAATGTTTCGCGAAATACGAAGCATAAAGTGGAAACTGGGTAATTCCGTGACGTTTGAAGCGGAACGGGCAATGTCTTTCTCACGCGCGTAATGATCTAATGATCTCGTTACGTACGTCTCGCTTCGGTGCGCCGAAGCCACAAACACATGCAGGTTTCCGTGAATAAATTAAACGTCCGACGTCGGTCTGGCGTTCGCCAAACTGCTACTTAATCTCCTCTACATTCCGCGAGAGAAAAACCTGCCGATCGCGACCAATCATCTCATTGTATCGACTGAAGACGCGGCAAAAAGCGGACGAATCTCGAAAGTACCGGTGACTGGGAGATTCCCGGAAAAGTCTCCGGCATTGACGCGAGAGCATGTTTTATCCGCTGCGCGAACGCGCTGTTATATTCTTACGACGAGGAAAAAGTCGAGCCTTGTGGCTTTACCTTCTCGGGAAACCAGGGTGTCACGAACGGCATCTGGAAGGTGTTGCTGTAGGAATGCAGCGTATCGAACGAGTCTGGACTCACGGCGCCCAGCATCGAGAACACGCCTCTGCTGAATTGGCTGCAGACTGTAACACGCAAAAGCGACACGGCGACCGTTAGCGTCGAGTAACACAGCGTTTAATAACACGATGATAATGATAAGAAAGAAAGCCGCGGCCGGATGTGCTTCGGACGCGACGCCGACTGATTTCGGCGCGTTTATTTCGTTTCGATCACTCGCGAGTTCCCGACGTGATGTCATTACATAATCTCTCTCTCTCTCTCTCCCCCCTCTCTCTCTCTCTCTCTCTCTCTCTCTCTCTCATTCGGAGAGTTGCCGCGGAATATTCTTTCTTACTTTAAGTCCTCATTTTGGGTGCGCGCGCGCGACGTTCACGGCGAGAACAAGCTTATACATATTCATGAGAGTTTTTACTTAAAAAATTATAAAGCATCTTTTTGCGAGGTATTTGCAAATACGTCTCGCGAACTCGTCTGAGCAAGAGCGCGCGTTTATTCGTGTTCCTTTGAGGCGGTCTTGTTCCCGCACAATAATTCCGCCGGATATTTGTTCGGAAAGTCGCACGCGCGACGGCGTCACGCCGCGCGTTAAAATACTCGCGCGCGGACAAATATTTGCGCACCGCTGTTATTTATACGTTGTTATTATTTAACATCACAAATACACACGGGCCGCATGAAGATCGAGCGACTGTCATACGATGGGTAATCTCGTCGACCATTATGCGTGGTCTCTTCCACAAAGCGCAATAATACCGCAAAAGTGTCAGCTTGCGGTACACACACTGAACGCCCGCTGGATAGATCCGTTTTTATTAGCACGCCGGGAGCAAAAAGGGCCCGCCGATAAAAACGGCGTATGTGAGCGCGCGAGCTAGGAGTGACGGGCAGATCTAAATTTGATTACCGCCCCAACAAAGTCGCTTTTAATAACGCGCGGCAAATAATTGAGTAGGGAGGCCTGGAAAAAGCGACAATGAATGAGAACGTAAGATGTTTCTTCGTCGTTTCTTCACCTCGATATCGATAAGCGCGCGCGCCTTTCTCCCCCCCCTCTCTCTCTCTCTCCATCTCTCGCGTCGTTATCAATTATTCAAATAGGATACCGTTGATAATGTAGTTTCGATAAACACGTCTCCAAACGAAGCCTCGCCCGGCCGCATTATTTAGTGCACCGGAGGTCAGCGCACCGAGCCGAATGCCTTTTTGCGCTCGCTCGATATTCAGCGTCCAGCGAATAGTGAATTTTTATTGAAATCCGAGCGAGAGAAAGGTGATGCTGCGCGCAAAAAGACGCGGTGAACGGCGCGGCATTCACGCTAGAGAAAAGACTAAAGTCACGCGATATATAGACGCGATATTTAGAATCGTGTGTGTCCGTACATATGTGTGTGTATGTGTGTATGTGTGCGTGTATAGACGCGCGGAAGCGTGATTATAGGTGCGATCATTATCTCTCGGCGGGTATAATTCGATGATTCGGAGAGCGCAGCAGCGGCGACGGCTCAGTGTTTAACCGCAACGATCGATACGCGGCCGAGATAAATGGCGATGATGGACAAACGCGATAAAACGTACAGAAAGCACGGACCACGGAATGGCTGGGTGGAAAAAGGGACAGAGAGAGAGAGAGAGAGAGAGAGAGAGAGTGACGGAGATGGGGTATCGGCTGCACCGATTGCGAAGGTGAGGGAAGATTCAAACGGTTGGAAGCGATCCAACGGGGAAGGTGAGGTAAGGCGCGGCAGCGGCGGCGGTGGCGGAGGCGGATAAAAAAGCGCCGGTCGAGGGAAAAGAAACCGGGAGGAAGAAGCGCGCGGGAGGGAGAGAGGAGCCGAGCCCTACAAGTTAATCGTGGACGAAGAAACTGACGGGACTCGCGCGCGATCGCAGATTTTTGCGCCGGCTGTCTAAATGACTGATAAACGGCGCTGATATACGACACTTAATGCGAATAATATTGTGGCCTCGCGCGCTGCGTAACCCCGCAGACGAGGCGGCAGGTTGCTGTTGATTTTTCAGCCGAGCGCGTGCCACCCTTGGCTCTTTCTCTCTCTCTCTCTCTCTCTCTCTCTCTCTCTCTCTCTCTCTCGCGTCTCTTTCTTCAATCGCAAAATATTATCTTAGCATTTCGGACGTCTCCCATTGATTTAATTAGGTGTCGCAAGCGTATTCGCCGGAGATACACAACCGGTCACGGCGGTAATCGATATTCGTCCTCGCGGGGGAGGCGACGCGCGGGGTAAATTCCGTTCTTAACAAAATGGCGCTGTTTTGACGTTCCTTGGGAAACGGCGTTTGCACGGCTAAATTAGCCGGCACATCGGAACCTCCTTTCGATTCGAGAAAAACGGCCCTCGACGGCCACGCGCAGAGGAAATTGCGCGTGGCCGCGGGGAGGGGGGTGTGGGAGCGGTGGCTTATTAACCATTTCGTTGTTATCATTACGGCGCGCCCGCGTATAATTCCGACCGGAATTACGTGCGCGCAGCCTACTTTATTTTAATTATTCTTTTATGGCCGCTCTCACACGCCCGACCTTCGTACCCGACCCTCGGCCCGGCCCGGGGTGAAAAAGAACCGCCGTCGCGGCGGCGGCGAGGAGTGTGCTAAAGGTGCGAGGAACCGGAGAGAAAGAGCGACTGCGTGGGCGCGGTTTTTATTTTCGTTGTTCCGCGCACGTGTACGTGCTGCGGCCGCAGCAGAATTCAGAGATCCGGCGGCGCGGCGCGAACTGCGGCGGCCGGCATTTATTGTGGCCACCCCGAGGGTGCATTTATATTCATAAGCATAATGGGGCATCGTGATATATGCGCCCGCACCTTGGTCAAGAATGTCCCTTCGCTCTTTCGTCATTATTAATTCCGCGCGCCTTTGCTCTCGCTCGCTTGCTCGTCGACATGTCCGCCGGCGATATTTCGCAAAAATGCGCGCGCGCGCGTTCTCTGTTCTTTGGCAGAGCGTCGCCGCGACATGTCCGGCTCTAATTGTAGATTGGCACCGCACCGACGATGTTATTCGCGCACGCGGCGCCAACGGCGTTCCCCTCGAGCTTCGAGTGCAGCAGCGCGCACCTGTGCACTTCGTACTTCGCGAAGCGCAGCCGTTGCGCTCGTGGCATCGATTGCATGCTTCCGTATCGTGACCCTCGCCCCCGCCCCCTCTTCCTTCGCGCAACATCTCTCATGAAATTATCCAGGATGTTTCGGAAGATTTGCATTGAGCTCCGGGGGTGCATTCGCCGGGAACTTGTGGAGACGCAATTTTTGCACTCGTGGACATTTAATTGAAGCCCCGTCACGTCTGTCCCGCGTCCTTTGTGTATTGTCCGTGTTAAATGCCTCGTTAATTGAGGTTCCGCTGAATAATGTTGAACGCCGGCGTCAATTTTCGACAGCACTCGAAATTTTTGCTCCGCATCAATCCTGGAAATCCCGCAGGAGAATTTCGAGGACCGGTGGCGGAATCCGGCTCGAAATAATTATGATACCGCATAGGCTATTATTTTATTTTGATGCTATGAATTACTTTTTACATTTAATTTACACTTTACATTTAATTTACCCAGTTTCAAATATATCGTGATTATTCATCGCGTAATTAATCGCGAGTAAGCGTGCACGCAGTGTATTATGTATGATAGGTAAATATTAAGTAATTTAATAAAGATTTAACGAGGAGAGCAGAGAAAGGGTGAACGAAGCAACAAATTCGCGCTTTCTCACCGTAATTTATTTATCATCTCTTCGTTATCTCTCGCCTGGCTTTCCGATCTGTCATCACGTCCTTGCCCGCTCTGTCATGACGCCTCGGATATTAACTCTCGGCTACACACGGAAAATCGATTCGCGTTAATCAACATCGACGAGATCAACATCGATTTCGATCATACTTCAAGAGTCGACGAAACATATATGCGCGAGATATAACGTAGTACGCAAAGTCAACACGCAAAAACACGCGACGCGCGAGAGCGCCGAAACAATCGGCGAGAAGGATAACGTCATCCCCTCCCCTCGATCGTCAACATTCCCGACCCATCATCGAACGCCGCGCGGTCACAGAATCAAAACAATCCGGACCTTCAAGGCGTGCCTCGTGCGTTTTTGACCTTTCCCGCGTGGATTAGTTATGTTGTCCGAGAGCTCGCGAGCGGTACACATCGCTCAGTCGCGCGTCGCTGTGTATTTCTCCGTCACGCGATTAACGTGTCTACTGCCGCTTCGTTTAACCGGACTCTCGCGATATTTAACACGTATGACTTCGGTCAAATCGTGTCTACGCGAGCGTCGGTGTCAGTGCCACGATGAGGGGGATGCTGCTGGACCGGAAAGCCAGGGTGGAGAACGCAGCTGATAGCATCGTCCAGGTGCGTCAAATCATTTATTACGTACGAGGATTCTAACACAAAACGTTTGACGAATCTATGCACACTGATAGAAAAATATAGTTGAATTAACCATAATCTCACTATATTTTATAGTTCCATTTGGCGTCAACCATATTTTTACCGTTCGTGGAAACCTGCATGATATAGTCGAATAAACACAAATATATAGTCGATGATTGTCTGAAATAATTGTTTAGTTACTTTTACCACATATATGGTAATTTCTCATTCACAAATGTAGTGAGATTTAATATTCATATAGTTACATCTGTCATCATTTAGCAAATATTCCGGTAATATCGACTATATAAAAGAGTTACTTTTACCTATCATTTTATATCAGCATCCATACAGTAATTTTAGTTTAACTTACTATAATTCTTAGTAAAAATGTTATATGGTTGGTTATACTATGCCTATATCGTAATTATTACCGATATTATGGTAACGCTTACTATAAATATGATATATTTCGGACTATAATTTCGTTACTGTATCATTGTAGTTCCAAATAGCATATACTTTTCTCTCAGTGCAGGCGTGTCGAAATTTAGATCGGCATTCGTACTTTGTCATTATCTGACAGCTTCGTGAATTTTCAATTATTCATCAAGACTGTAATTTATTTCGTGTAACAAAGAACGCTGATCCAAATGGTCAAATAATAGCCGGTGA